AGTCCGGCCCTGTACAGGTGTAGGGGCTGGCAACATCGCATGTAGCTAATAAAAATTTGTTTTCCCATTTAAAATTCTTTAAAATCTTTAAAAGGCTCATAAAACCTTTTAAATATGATGGGATAATTTTACAAATGGTGGGTATCAACATATTTTGATAAATCAGATAATAATGATCCAATCCCAGAGACAGTGGGTCTCCCTGTGTAACAAGCGCTTACCTTTCCCCGCCGATCCCGCGCAGCGCCGGGTCCTCCTCCAATCCTTCCGGGGGGCGGCTCAGCCTTTCTGACGCCGGCCGCTCGGATCACGCCCACATTTATGACGCGGCGCATGCGCGACGACGTCAGACTAAAAATGGCGCCAAAATTCAAACGTGGTCACGCTCCCGGACTTTTTGGGGGCGTGGCTACAAAATTAAAGCCAAAGAACCCACACTATAAAAGGGCTATCATGACACTTGTCAGATGCCCTAGTGTGGTTCTTGTTTAAGTCCCCTGGTGCTATCTTTTCTGATTGTTCTTCCTGGTATTTGACCCTTGGCTATTTCTCTGACTATTCTGTGTTCTGGTTTCCCATATCTTGGCTTGGATAATCGTGTGCCCGTCTTCCGTATTCCCTTGACCTCTGGCTATTTCTCTTGACTATTCTCAGACGCTAGTCCGGCCATTCTAAGGTCCGGTAACCGTCTTTCTGTGGGTTTCACGCTGTGTGAAGGGGTCACTGTTGTGACTTTGGTCACTGTCGTGACACCCTGGGGAATTCTGAGCATCCTTATGTCATTTTGGCAGGATATATATGACAAGAATCTTAGGGTTCTCTATATTTAAAAATGTATGTTCTGTAGCTGTTAAAATCCCTTTTAGGAGTCCCTTATCTAAAAATTCTGTATATATTTTCTTTATGTCTTCCGATGGACTGTGATTTAGTTTTTTGTAAGTGTCACAGTCCTCCAGTTTTCTATATAGTTCCTAAAGGTAGTTTTCTTCTATATTTTAAAAAGAAACAAACAATTAATTTTTTTTTAAAAGATTCAGATCTGGCCATCAAAACGGCAGATAAGGGGGATAGGGGGGGTGGTAGTCATTATGAGAAAGAAAAATTGCTGCTATTTCCTGTATTTTTGCATTTGATTGAAGTTAATTCATCTTTTGAAAATCTTCAAGTCTCCCTGCTATCTGTGGAGGCGCAAAGCTACAGGATAGATACTTCACCACAGCAGCTCCATTTGCTGACAAGCCATCACAGCCAGAGCCTGCTAAACATGGCTCTGAGAAGAGTGAGTGTCCCATTACCTCTGTGTTTCATATCTCCTGTATACATACAGTATTATGCTATGTAAAGTTTTATGTTTTACAGATTGACCAGAGGTTTATTACCAAGGTCCTCCTGGATATAAGTAAATCACACTGTGTGGTGGTGTTTTTCATTGCGCCCCCTGTACTTTGTATCTGTTTTTCACAAGCGCAGGCAGATGCCTACAAACACACACCAAGTACAGTTAGGTACACAGACACACAAAGACATAAGTAAATCAAACAGTAAAAAAAACTTGTGCTTTGAGTTAAACCCTTTGTAAGTTAACTTGCTGCAGCTTCCAATATCATGCAATATCACTTTTATTGTGAAAAATTAATTCTAATACAAAACAATATATATCTTGTATTAGACCGTCCTTGATCAATGTGCCCAAATAATCATACAATAAAAGGGCTACTAAAAAAAAAAATATATGAACATAAATACATACATAGATATCTTAATATCATGTTTTTTGTTTGTTCATTCATAAAATCAAGAGTCCCATACAAGGAGGGGATATTGAACAATTATTAGACTTCCAAGAGGCCATATGGATTTTTCATCTTGGCCTAATGGCTTAAATTCAGAATTTGATATCACCTACTTCATAGGCTGATAATGGGTTTATAGATTAAATCGTTTTAGATTAGTTTTTAGATTTAAATAAAATGGTTTGCTTATTTTTATAAGTGGTATATTTGTGTTCCTTCCTATGTGATGTTTTTCATTTTTCAATATTATTTCTTTTTCACCACTGGGAGTCTCCCTTTTCTCTTTAGAATGTCTTGGTTTTTGTTAGTTTTTTAAACCAGGGCTTACATACCTGTCACAAGGAGTCTCACTCAGGATCTGGAACAACTTAGGTGAGATATTGTTTTCCATAGCTTGTTACTGATTATATGAATCTGAGATGTATACATTATAAGAGTGGGATTTGCAACTTTGTTTTGCTTTTTGATGTTTATGTATATATTTTTATACATTGAGACCTTGAGATCGTTAATATTTCTAGATTACAATGATAGTCCACCTAGTTCATTATAGGAAGATCTAATAGGATTGTATGATACGATCTCAGCTTAAACAGTCACTTGTTCTACGGGGTGTATAGAAAAGGAAATAATGCTTTTTAACTTTTATTAACCCCTTCAGGACGGAGTCAATAGTGCACGTTCTGATCAAAACAAAACGTAAACAAAAACTGGAATTTGCGCTATATGTCTGTTCAACCGTAATTCAACGCTGTCACATTAAGTGCACCCACACTTATTATATATCATTTTGTTCAGGAGAAACAGGGCTTTAATTTATCATTAACTATTCATATATGGAACATAATTTATTATGAATAAAATAAAAAAAATGTTTAGAAAATAAGATTTATTTTTAAATTTGTATTTCCGTCTGACATTTTAGCTGTTAATGTCATAATACTGTTAGGTATTACTGCACAAAAATGCACATATTTGTAATCAGCGATGTCTCACGAGTACAACAGTACCCCCCATTAACAGGTTTTATGGTGTTTTGGAAAGTTACAGGGTCAAATATAGAACGTTCCATTTTCAAATTGAAATTTGCCAGATTAGTAATGTTACCTTTGAGACGGTGTGGTAGCCCAGGAATGAGAATTACCCCCATAATGGCATACCATTTGAAAAAGTAGACAACCCAAGGTATTGAACGTGGGGTATGTTTAGTCTTTTTTAGTAGCCACTTAGTCACAAACACTGGCCAAAGTTAGCGTTCATATTTGTTTTTGTGTGAAAAAAGCAAAAAACTAATATTTGGCCAGTGTTTGTGACTAAGTGGCTACTAAAAATGACTGGACATACCCCATTTGCAATACCTTGGGTTGTCTACTTTTGCAAATGGTATGCCATCATGGGGGTAATTCTTATTCCTGGGCTACCATACGCTCTCAAAGGCAACATAACCAATCTGGCAAATTTCAATGTCAAAAAAATGAAATGCAAGCCTTATATGTGACTCTCTAACTTTCCAAAACACAATAAAACCTGTACATGGGGGGTATTGTTATTCTCGGGAGACTTCACTAAACACAAATATTAGTGTTTTAAAACAGTAAAACATATTACAACAATAATATAGTCCATAAAAGTGCAGTTTGTTTGTAAAAAAAAATGCAAAAAATGTCACTTTTACTTAAAATATCATCGTTGTAATACAATTTACCAGTTTGAAACACTAATATTTGAGTTCAGCGAAGTCTCCCGAGTAAAACAGTACCCCCTATGTACAGGTTTTATGGTGTCTTGGAGAGTTACAGGGTCAAATATAGTGCTTGCGAATTAAATTCTCTGCACTTTCTCCCTGTGTTGTCAGGCATGTCAATCAAATTTTAATTAATCAAATCACATAATTATGTTAAAAGATTATTTAAATATACACGTAGAATTTTAATATATATGCATTTATAGGTATTTAAATTCTACATGTATACTAATGTAATCTTTTATGTAATTATATGTATTTATCTATATATATATATATATATATATATATATTTGCGGTTATTTGTATTTGATATATAGATAGATATATATAGAATGTCATTCTAAGTGTATTTTGTTACCAATATATATATATTAATAACAAAATACAGTTAGAAGGAAATTACATATGAATATATAATTTTAATAAAATTTTGTTTCAATATTTTATTTATTTATTTTATTATTTTATTTATTTATTATTGTAATTATACGTATATATATTTAATATATATGTATATATCTATTATATATATAATATATATACATATTATATATATGTAACGTCATTCTAAGTGTATTTTAATACTAATATATACTAATATTAGTATTAAAATACATTATGTATGACGTTATATATATATAATATGTATATATATTATATATATAATATATATACATATGTTATATATATATAAATATATTTCATTTATTTTTACACATGTTTATTTTTATTTTTTTTCATTTCCCACCAGCCGGGGCACTGTCTGATATTTCAGACAGCCCCCCTGCTGGCAGATCCATAGCCAGCTATGGGGGGCCATGTGATCGCTCTTTGAGAGCGATCACATGGCCCCCGGGGGCCTCATTTGCCGGGGGAGGGCTGCCTTGGCGGTCAGGCAGCCCCCCAGAAGAGGATCGCAGCGGAGGTAAGTAGCTGCGATCCCCTGGCGTTAAGGGGTTAAAAGAACATGTTATTGTTAGGAATGCTTAGATGTGTAACATTGTAAAGGGTTACATAACTCTTTATTCACTTTCCCGATTTCAGCTCCGAGGTCCCTCAGCGGTGGGTCACAGTCCCAGCACCATCTGCTTGGTGGGGCCTAATGCCCATGCATGGCGAGTGCCGTGTACATTAGGCCTTCCCCATAGGAAAGCATTGCCTCAATGAAGATGTTTAGCGTCGTTTCACGGAGTCAAACACTTGAATTGAAGATTTATCAACAACCGCATGGTGGCCTGTGATAAACTGGATTTACTTTGAAAGTGAATTGATCATTTGAATTACTACTTGCTTGCTGGCAGTGCAAGCGATAGTTAGCTGGCCACATTAAAAAAGCCATGCTGGGCAAAAGCAGATTTACATATATTTTACAAATGTTTACAAATATTCAATGATTTTTTTCCTCACATCTTTCTCTAAAGTGCAAGACCTGGCTGTGCCACAGAGGCTGGTGCTGATATCATTGCTGTGCTACCTGGGATGGGCCCGATTTACCGGAGATTGTACCTCCTGGGATTTGAAGCCTACCCTGACGATTGAGTGCGGAAGTTAGCCGCTCCCTATTTCTGCAGTGTACCAGCCCTCTCCAATTCAACTTTGCTGCCCTGTTCCCCCCACCCTTGGACCAGTGGTGCCTGGCCCCCATGGAAAGGTAATAAAACAATGGATTAAATACTGCACCAGTAAACAAAATGACAATTCGGGATCAATCTAAAAAACACAAATAACATAACATAGTGCAAAATGTATATATATAATGATAGACCCCTTATGTAGAGTAAAACTCACAGCATTTAGAGCCATCCCAGGCTCTATATAATATGCAGGAGGGTGCCTAAAAAGGCTAAAACGATATCCTTGAGGAGAGCAGCACAGGATACAAAGTGCAGAATGCAAAATTTATTGAACAAATAAAAAATTAAAACAGGGACAATAAGCAGTGTATAAATAGTAAAATATACTAGGCACAAAGCCTAAATAAAGCACCGCAGAGTAAATAAGAAAAAGTCCCAGATACAATACTTTGGTCTAGCAGCAAACACATTTTAACTTCAGCTGGAGTCTTCCTTAGTGCTGTGGTGCTCTCTGTGAAAAGGTAACTGGCTGGAGTGGGCACTGGAGGTGAAAGCCTAATTGCTTTCAGATGGCTGAGAAACCAAACACGCTGTCTGACATGTGGATGATAGAGTTATTGGCAGCCTTTGAATATATAAGCAATAAATGCGAAGACTTCTTAGCCCGAATAACACATAGATCAATCCAGCCGAACCACACAATCTATTTCCTGGAGAGTGGTGGAAGTTGATGCAGAGGGAGGCCACAGGCACCTACACCGGGCATACCTGTCAGGACCAGCAAGATGGCTCATCTGAAATTCCTACCCGAGCAGAGAGCTCACAGAGTTAACCTTGCGTCACCGTCCATACCCGTGGAGGGGGCTTGGATGAGTCATCGGGCAAACCGTTTACGATCAAGACCCCTGAAGGGGATAGACTTTGGTACTACTAGATGCTAGGTTTGCGGAGACTTGGTGTCGGCTCTTACTGACACTCAGGGATGGTGTGGTAACCACGTTTGGCCTACCTGATGTGCTTTGACCAACGAATCTCATGTGAGAGCGCAGCTCTCAATTAGACTGGGCATCGGCTGACACAGGCCTACTTCTGGGGCTCCCGGTTCTCACATAGCACCCTCACAGGCGCTTTGAACACAATATCTGCTGGGAGGCTTTCCTTATAGCATTGTTGCCTCAACTGCCAGTGCCAATTTTGTCAAGTTTGTCTTTTTTTTGTTTTCTTTATCTGGCACTGTTCTGCATTTATTTACTAAGCATGTTATATATTTTTTATTTTATTATTATTTGAAGCATGTCATTAGTCAAGTCATATTGTTAGAATGTATTGCCTGATTTTACCTTTCTGCTATACATGCTTTCTCCTCTACTGCCATTCTGCGTGACGTACTTCAATGTGATACCACATTTACACAATTTCTTTGCTCTCCACTTTTTATTTTATTATATTTTTATCTATTTGACTTGGTCTGCGCTAGGATTTTTTCCCTTGGGTTTAAAGCACTAAAGTGAGTAGCTGCATAATTATATTTAGTTTATTATAAGGATTTCATTATAAATCTTTTTTAAAAGTAACAATTTTATTCAAAAGCTTTTTTCCCTATATATATATATCCTGGATCATATCATATATATATAAGAAAACTGAGATGCTTGCACTCCTGGATTAGAGAGTAATTGCCCGGTGCTGGTCAGGCACGAGATACAAAAAAAAGATTGGAAATGACCGCACTCCAAGGACTTGTTGATAGTAAAAATAAAATATAACTTTTATTCTATATCATATAAAAAAATATACATGGGCTTTCATCAGGATGGCAATACAATACGCAAATACATATAAAATACTTATACAGCAAAACATAAAAGGATACTAACCAGCTTCATGTGTGAGAGAACCGAAATGGCATTCAAACTGCACGTGTAACAGCTGATCAGAGTGCTTCAACCGTAGTTGCTAGGCACTGCGTTCCATTTGGTTGCTTGGTGATCAGTGAAACGCAATTTCACCCGATTGCTATGCTGTTAGATCAGTAGACACAGAGCTGGTATTGCTGTGTGTATGGATCGTGAAATCATTCTCTCTGCCTGCTACTTTCTGGCACTGTGTCTGGAATGCAATTGATACAAAGTATCAGTAGGCACCATACATCGATGTGCTGCAGCACTAACAGGATAGAGCCCTTGACAGGACTTCAGTCTGGCAGAGTGCAAATACCATCACACTCAGTCAGCTGGGTCTTCACTTCTCACAAATAAAGGGGTGATATAAGTGCCGATTGTGAGATCTTATCCTCAACCAAATGCAACGCAGTGCCTAGCAACTACGGTTGAAGCACTCTGATCAGCTGTTCCACGTTTTAACGCCATTTCGGTTCTCTCACACATGAAGCTGGTATTTTATATGTATTTGTGTATTGTATTGCCATCCTGATGAAAGCCCATGTATTGGGGCTGAAACGTCGATATTGTTTTATATGATATTGAATAAAAGTTATATTTTATTTTTACTATCAACAAGTCCTTGGAGTGCGGTCATTTCCAATCATTTTTTTTTGTATCTTGTGCCTGACCAGCACCGGGCAATTACTCTCTAATCCAGGAGTGCAAGCATCTCAGTTTTCTTGTATCTGTGGACTCCATGGGCAGGAGCCCTGCCATGCACCCGGTATTGATTTCTCAAGTCTGAATTTAATAAGACAATTATCAGCGTAACTTGAGTGTCTATATTTACACATTTTTTTTTTTATATATTGAGGTCTATACTTTTCTGTTTTTATATTTATTTTTTTATATTTTTTATGGAAGATTTTTTGGAACAAGCAGGAGGACTGTTAGAGCAAGCCGAAATCCTCCAATACACTGATGATGACGCAGCTAGGATCAGGTGGGACACCGCAACCACTGACCTTCCAAGCACTACTTCTCTTACTGACATTTATCATGAACTGCTACGTCTAAGAAAGAGAGAAACAGATTTGGACCTGCATGGATTATTCCTGTCTGACTATCACCGCAAACTTCAAATACCGTGTGGATTTTGGGTAAGAAATATCCCTACTATTGGCCGTTTAAAACCTAAAGTCTGTAAAAAATGGATAGCGGTCCTTAACAAATGTTCCCTGGACCTTATGCTTGTAATAATAGTAATGATGTAAAGGAAGATTTAACAGTGGTTAGGAAAAAAATCGTGGAGCTTGAATCAAAGCAAGCATTATTACTTTCATCCACTGAAGCAGCTCCAACAATTTTGAAGCTGGAAGAGAATCTAAAAGTCTATAAAACAGACCTAATTAGGTTTAAGAGAGACAAGCAAGTTAAAGTTGAAGGTGACTATAAAGATCACAGGGTCTATAAATGGCTCGCAGGTCACACTGAGAGACCATTCCCGTATAGACGTAGAAAACCGATAAGAAAACCAAGACAGTATACAGTTGATCAAACCTCAGGGAATTCTTCATCGGAATCAGACATACATTATACAACCACGAGCGCACCAGAAAGGGAGCCTTTTTTAGAGTCAGACCCAGGATCATCCAGGATCCACACGAGACTAACCACACAACTAGAAGCCGAAGGCATAGCACCAGGCGTGGGCAAAAGGGCAGAGCCTATAGGACCACGATACAAACCTCCCAGACCACCTAAATTATACCAATTTTTAATCTTTCATCGAGAACTCTCACCAGGGATGAGGAACAACTCCTCATGAAAGGACTTTCCTTTGTAACTAATCCCCCTAATGCATTTGACAGTGAAATTGAACTGTTTAAATTTGGGAGAAATCTGCGTTTGAAAGAATTTTTTAAAGGGACGGTACAATCTACTGATTCCAATATGCACCAATTCAGAGTTAAGAGCACATTCGACCCTGCAACTTCTCATGCTTCTATTAAAACTTTCTTGAGAAATGTACAACAAGAAATGAACAAAGCAGCCCACAACAGAGGAACACAACAGTCCAATATCACGAAGAAAGAGAGAAGCATCATACAATCACTGGCCCAGGACAAAACTCTTGTCATCAGACCTGCAGACAAGGAAGGCGGGATTGAACCCATTGCCAAATGGCTTGATTTTCTATTCAAAAGCAGCATTGAAGCTATTCCAACATGCCTTAAAGACACATCAGATCTTTTGAAACAACTAAATCAAATTACTTTACCTGATGGCCCAATAACATTGTCCACCTGCGACATTAAAAGTCTTTACACCATAATACCGCACAAAGACGGTGTCGAGGCTATGCGTACTACGCTAAGTGAATTTGGAGTATATGATGGACCTCCTATTGAATTCGTGTTAGAACTATTGGAATTGGTACTAACACTGAATTATTTCAGATTTGAGCATTTGTGGTATAAACAAATCTCGGGCACCTCGATGGGTGCAGAAATGGCGCCTAATTATGCCAACAGTTTCATGTATAGTTTTGAGAAGGACAATATCTTACAACCATACTCTAACAATATCATCTTTTATAGACGTTTTATTGATGACCTGTTTTTTGTGTGGAAAGGTGACGCACAATCAATGTCGACGATGGTCCAGGAGATCAATGACATGAACACACCGGTGAAATTAACACTAACAGCAAGTACAGATGGTGTTGATTTTCTTGATGTCCATATATTCAGACAAAACAACCAACTGGCTTATAGTCTGTACACAAAGCCTACTGACAGAAATACAATACTGCATTCGGCTAGCTTCCACCCGAAACACCTTAAAGCCTCATTACCGTATTCACAATTCCTAAGGGTACTTAGAAATAACTCGGAACCCCAGACAGCACAACAACAAATCATTCAAATGTGGAATAAGTTTGAGGAAAGAGGCTACAGCAATCGAACACTACAGCAGGCATGGGATAAATGCCAGGCAAACACCGTCACAGACACTTCAAATATCTCTAGATTGGTTTTTCCAAGCACCTTCACCACAATGTCATCCAAATTGAAAGAAACAGTGGACTCCTATTGGCATATTCTAGCCAACGATCCAACATTGCCAGCAGAATTCCGACAACCACCTATGATGAGCTATCGGCGGGGCAAGAATTTCCGTGATCTTTTAGTTAAAATGGACCCCACACATTGATACATGAAGGAACAACAGCAAACGAATGTGGGCTGTTACCGATGTCTGGGATGCGTCACGTGTGGCCATATGATTCCTAGTAAAACCTTCCTCCATCCACACACAGGGAAACAATATAAAATACGTCACAGACTGACATGTACGACTGTTTTTGTCATATACAAACTACAGTGCCCATGTGGATTATCCTACATAGGGAAAACAGACCTACCACTCAGAGAAAGAATTAGGAACAATCGGTCTAATATCAGAGTGGCATACAGGGAGAAAAAAGCAGAACTGCCAGTAGCCAAACATTTTTTGGCAATGGGACACCAACTCCCGACTCTCAAATTCACAGCTATTGATCATGTACCTCCCCTGCTACGGGGTGGTGATCGGAAAAAACTCTTGTTACAGCGTGAAACATTCTGGATTAGGACATTAGACACAGTGTGGCCTAAAGGTCTTAATGAAAAAGTGTCATTCTCCATGTTTCTATAAATCTATATATCTGCAATCTTGATTATAACCAATAGATTTTTGTGACTCTGTGAATGTATTATTCACGGGTATTTCTCCCTTTCTGTGGGATTTAATTACCTACATTTATCTCTCTTCCATTTTTTTCGCTCTAGATGGAAGTTTTTTCAGAACTATCTTCATTCAAAACAATGGGTATAGGGGATTTTTTCTGTATTCACCCAATATGTTTAACTTTTATATCTTTAAAATCAAAAGTTTAATGTAATTATGTCTAGTCATCTTAGTCAAACATGAATGTAATCTTACCCAATATATAATATTTGGATGCACTTAAACAGCGTCTCTAATAACATAGTAGTCAGTGCTTATAATTATGATCAGTGCATTTTCTCATTTTATGTATTAATGATATTGTTTTTCCACAAGTTAGGTAACAATTAATCATTATTTATCTTTCAGTCTAGTCGTATTTATCTAATTGTGTTGACCTCTTATATTATCATTTTTCAAGTAATATTGTTTTTAAATCACTTAATCCTACTTCATGTGGTTTAGAGATTCTGATGTCATTATTATGCCGCAATTTACCTTTTACCTATTCCTGTCTTTCTTATTCTCCTCTAAGCCATTGGTTCTACAAAAAAAACCCCACCCTACAATTCAAGCTTTAATATATGCTTTTATGTATTTACACATTTTCTCCTGCTAGGAATTAGGGAGTACCATTTAAATATAGCTATATGGGGGGGTAGTTTGACTATAACATAATGGACTTGGCAGTATTTGTCCATCTCTACACAGCTCCATATTGGCTGGTTTACAAAATAATAGTGTGGCTTTATATTCTGTTTACAACACTCTTCCAACTTCTCTTTGGGCACTTATATCCCCCCTCTATTTGTGAGAAGTGAAGACCCATGCTGGCTTAGTGTGATGGTACTTGCACTCTGCCAGAGTGGAGTCCTGTTAAGGTCTCAATCCTGTTAGTGCAGCATCACATCATATATGGTGCTTACTGATACTTTGTATCAATTACATTCCAGGCACAGTGACAGAAATTAGCAGTCAGAGGATAAGATCTCACAATCGGCACTTATATCACCCCTTTATTTGTGAGAAGTGAAGACCCAGCTGGCTGAGTGTGATGGTATTTGCACTCTGCCAGACTGAAGTCCTGTCAATGGCTCTATCCTGTTAGTGCTGCAGCACATCAATGTATGGGGCCTACTGATACTTTGTATCAATTGCATTCCAGATACAGTGCCAGAAAGTAGCAGGCAGAGGGAATGATTTTACCATCCATACACACAGCAATACTAGCTCTGTGTCTACTGATCTAACAGCATAGCAATCGGGTGAAATTGGGTTTCACTGATCACCTAGCAACCAAATGGAACGCAGTGCCTAGCAACTACGGTTGAAGCACTCTGATCAGCTGTTCCACGTGCAGTTTGAATGCCATTTCGGTTCTCTCACACATAAAGCTGGTTAGTATTCTTTTATGTTTTGCTATATAAGTATTTTATATGTATTTGTGTATTGTATTGCCATCCTGATGAAAGCCCATGTATTGGGGCTGAAACGTCGATATTTTTTTATATGATATAGAATAAAAGTTATATTTTATTTTTACTATCAACAAGTCCTTGGAGTGCGGTCATTTCCAATCATTTTTTATATATATATATATATATATATATGTATATATATATGCTCACGGTGCCTAGAGAGATCTCAGCTATGCCTCACTGATGATGCCTAACACGTCTGGGGTTGCTGTATCTCTCATGCAGAGGGAACTTGCTGGTATTTCAGATCTGGACTGCCCGTATGGGTGGGACCAGTCTGATATGCTTCAGATATGTTCTCTCTGTAATGGCACAAGATGAGCTAAAACCAGCTTGAGTTCTGAGCGGGGATCCACCGAAGGGCAGGCTATTTCAGTTGCTGTCCATTCTCAGAATACTCTTGTGACCCGTTTTTTGCTCTCCATAAGTTTAAAGGGTAATCCAGATGTGGACCCCTTGCTCACGGTGCCTAGAGAGATATCAGCTATGCCTCACTGATGATGCCTAATAAGGCTGAAACGATCGTCTGGGGTTGCTGTATCTCTCGTGCAGAGGGAACTTGCTGGTATTTCGGATCTGGACTGCCTGTATGGGTGGGACCTGTCTGATATTCTTTAGATATGTTCTCTCTGTCATAGCACAAGATGAGCTAAAACCATCTTGAGTTCTGAGCGGGGATCGACCGAAGGGCAGGCTATTTCAGTTGCTGTCCATTCTCAGAATACTCTTGTGACCCGTTTTTTTGCTCTCCATAAGTTTAAAGGGTAATCCAGACGTGGACCCCTTGCTCACTGTGCCTAGAGAGATATCAGCTATGCCTCACTGATGATGCCTAACAAGGCTGAAACTATAGTCTGGGGTTGCTGTATCTCTCGTGCAGAGGGAACTTGCTGGTATTTTGGATCTGGACTGCCCGTATGGGTGGGACCAGTCTGATATGCTTCAGATATGTTCTCTCTGTAATGGCACAAGATGAGCTAAAACCATCTCTCTCTCTCTCTCTCTCTCTCTATATATATATATATATATATATATCAACATAGAGCAACACATGTGACAAACCAAAATTTAAAGGATCACTATAGGGTCAGGAACACAAACATGTATTCCTGATCCAATAGTGTTAAAATCACCATCTAGCCCCCCTGGACCCTTCATGCCTCCATAAATATAGCAAAATCGTATTGTATTCAAGCCAGAAGCTGTAGATCTGCATGCTGTTTGCCTGAAAAAAACAAGCAGTCTGCTGACATCATCAGAAGTGGTGGCCTGATCTAATCACAATGCTTCCCCGCAGGAGTGGCTGAGACTGACAAAGAGGCAGATCAGGGGCAGAGCCAGCATGATTCAAACACAGCCCTGGCCAATCAGCATCTCCTCAGAGATGAATTGAATCAATGCATCTCTATGAGGAAAGTTTAGTGTCTGCATGCAGAGGGAGGAGATACTGAATGTTTGGATGCATTTTAGGCAGCCATGACCCAGAAAGGATCTCTAACAACCATCTAAGGAGTGGCCAGAGAAGTTATCACTAGGCTGTTATGTAAACACTGCATTTTCTCTGAAAAGACAGAGTTTACAGCAAAAAGCCTGAAGGTAATGATCTACTCACCAGAACAAATTCAATAAGCTGTAGTTGTTCTGGTGACTAAAGTGTCCCTTTAAAAAAAAAATGACTTAAAAAATGTCCAACAATAAAAAAGAAATGCTAAGAAAGAAATAGAAAATGAGAAGGATGAGAGACAGAAAATAAAACGCTGTCAAGAGAGTAGATAGGTCTTACAAGGTAAGAAACATAATAACTCTTAAATGGTCTCACTTGCATATGTCACCATTAATGCGGGTTGCTTGCTTTGAATGTCAGGTCGTACAATCTAGTTGGTGTTTTGTTTTAAACGTATTTCATGATGTTGTTTCTCACTGTTATACTTAACACATACATTTGGTGAAATTAGAAAGTGGCTCAACTCTCCTTCATTGTCTAACATTCAGTGTTAACTCCCCATATTGTTTGCATATATTAAAAGTGCTGATATACAGGCTCCTTAACCTTGCTGCTTATCTTGCATGCTTTGCAATCTGTTGCTGACATATGGATGGATTACACTGACAGCATACTTGTGCCTAGGATCCACAGGACAACTCTTTCCTGTGTCCTTTTGAACTTAGTCACATCATTACAAACAGCTCTTTAGTGGAGCATATCATTCAGATTGTCAGATGAAAGGCCCTGTGTTTGGTTGGTCAGTATCTTCTTTCCACCCATTGCAATCTTCTGGAGGTATACTCCAAGCACCATAACAATTTAGACTTTTGGCAATGGTTATGGTGCAATTATTGTGGAATTGCTTGAGTTTTCATTACTAACATACAGGGTTGTTCACTAAAGCCAGAATGAGGCAAAATCATAAGGTTGCATATGGGCCATTAGGAATGCTAAATCTGGACAAATTAACAATGTATGAATTTTGCAAGGATTCAAATCCAGACCTAGATTTTAAAAATAAATCCAAACATTTTCCTGATTGCAATTAGTTTTTAAAAAAAAACTTCAAGGATTAATTATATTGTGGACCTATTGCACCACTCAAGCCCTCCACCCAAAATAATAGGGGGTGGATACTCTATTGTCCACACCACCAAAATAATGTGATAGTCCTCGTCATCTCCCCCAGATATCTAGTGCACCCCAGTCACCTATCCGCCCCCAATAAAAATAACTGTCCCTACCTACCTTTTCACTTATCAATACCTGTACAGAAAAAAATTACTTATCAATCAGTTTTTTCCAAACTCTTCTTATCTCCAAAAAGGGCAAATAAAAAATATCTCATGACGCAACTCTTTAAAAATAAAAAAGTCCAATAACAAAAATAATTAAAAAAAAATTAAGATAATTAGGCCATCTTCACCCCGAAAGGGCTCGCCACAGACTTAGCTTTTGTAGCATTCCCATGGATTTTCCTATTCTGTGCTACTAGACTCTCCCCTAGCCTGCAGTCCTTTAAGAGGTCACTGAAAGCACACCTCTCTAGGATAGCCTACTATCCCTTGCCTTCATAGCCCAGTTCATTCTCACGTCTTCTAGTGTTTAGTTTTTCAACACACCTATTGTACTAGCTGATTTCAGCACACATTAAGGCATCCTCCCCTTTAACATGCTGTTCTTTCTCTTGTGTTTCTTTACTACGTCCTCATAGATTGTAAGCTCATTTCAGCCAGGGGGCGGATCCAGAACCTAATCTCGGGAAGGGCACTGATAGTGGGCTGTAGTGAGGTGATAGGGGCTGTAATGGGGAAACAGCGCCTAATTGAGGAGTTATGGGCTAGAAGCTCTATTGGGGGTCAGGGGCTGTAGTGGGGGGCATAGTGGCTGTAGTGGGGGGAATGGATGCAATTGGGGATATGGGCTGCAGTTGGGACAGAGGGGCTGTAGTGAGGAAATAGGGGCTGTAGTAGAGGAGTTAAGGGCTGTAGTGGGGTGATATGGGCTGAATTTGGGATGAATGGAACTCTAGTTTGGGATACGGGCTGCAGTGAGGAGTGAGGGACTGTGGTAGAAGAGTTAGGGATGGTAGTATGGGTGTTAGGGGCTGTAGTGGGGGAATGAAACTGTAGTGGGGGATAAGAGCTACATTTGGAAGGTAGGGAGTGTAATGGGGGTAGGGGCTGTCATAAGGGGTTGAAGCAGCAGTGGGGATAAGGGGCTGTAGTAGGGCATAGGACCTGTAATTGGGGGGGGTGTTAAGGGCTGTAGTACAGAGCAAGCGGCTTTAGTAGGGAAGGTTAGGAGCTGTAGTAAGGCGCTTTAGTAGGGGAGGTTAGGTGCTGTAGTAAAAAGTAAGGGGCTTTAGTGTGGGTTTAGGGGTGCAGTAAGGAGATTCAGTAGGGGTGTTAGGGACAGTAGTGGGGGTTTAGGTGTGTAGTAAGGAGTAAGTAGCTTTAGAAGGGAGTTTGGGGTTATAGTGGGGGGCATAGGGGTATGTGGTAAGGGGCTTTAGTAGGGGAGGTTAGGGGCTGTAGTAAAAAGTAAGGGGCTTTAGTAGGGTGTTAGGGGGTGTAGTGGAGGTTTAGTAAGGAGCTTTAGTAGGAGTGTTAGGGGCTGTAGTGGGGGGTTAGGAGTGTAATAAAGAGGAAGGGGGCTGTTGTAGGGGAGGTTAGGGGCTCTACTGATGTAAGGGGTGTATTAGGGCATAGGGGCTGCACTTGGGGGGGCTGAAGAAAAAAAAATAGTGTATTCCCCCCTCCCTGAGGCTTACCTTGGGTTAGGGAGGGGAAATCATGTTCCCTGTTGCTCCGGTGGGAGATGTGCTGCTTTGTCTTAACCCCAGTGGGTGCAGACAGTTCCTTCCAGCAGCCTCTGGGGAAAGGATCAGTACAAGGGGCGGGGCCTAAATATGGGGTGGAACCTATCATGAGGAGGACTGGTGCTGCCGATGCGCTTCTATCTACAAGTGCTGTAGATAGAAGGGAAGCAGGGAAGCAGGGCTCTCTCTGGATCCGCCACTGATTTCAGCAGGGCTTTCTTCATCTCTTGCCTCTGTTATATGTAATTCAATTACTTGTTGGCAAATTTCCTCATTCTATAATTCTAAAGCGCTGTGTAACATGGTGGCTCTAATAATAATAATGCATCTGTTAAGATAAGGTCTCAAGGAAGTTTGCCATTTCAGTATGAACACTTTATGCACTTGCACCATCTCAACACATGGAGCCAACTTATACACTGGTCTCCTGTAATTAACCCTGATGTGGTAGCTATCGGTTCATCTGTTTCCACCCGAACTGCTAGGAGCATGAGTGATTATAGCTTGCAGTTCAGGTTTCCATCCGTCTCTTTCTCCAGATCAGATACAGCTTTCCCAGCAGATTCTCCCAAAGTAGTGAACAGGTACCCAAACATCAGCTGAAACTTGATGAAGGGTGTAACAAGACTGAAGCTTTATTGGTCCACACTGGCTTCTATGCAATTCCCCATACAAGGGGCACTCCCCTGTGGACCCTGTGGAGAACAGGGACATGACTTTTTACAGCCAATAACAGCATAGGGACAAACAGTGACACTCCCAATACAAACAATACAAACAAGTAATTCCCTCCTCTCTACCTGGAGATAATTGGGTCAGATAAAGTAAAACATTAATTATCTCCAGGCAGAAAAAAACATAATTTTCCCAAAACTTACAGGAAACTTACAGGATACCCATAAATGTCATACCCCCTGATAGGCCTGATCTGGGTGTCCAACATATCCAAAAATCACCCAGATCAGTTCCGGGGTTTTCGGATTTCATGGAAGTCCCATTTCGACAAATCACAAAACCGAACAAATGCACAAACAGAACGCTCTGGCTCATAGTAGTGATTGTTCCCCTGGTTTGTGGGAACCAAACTACCGAACAGCGCTCTCCTAGCTGTTCGGGAAAATAAAGCAGGCGTTCGTTTAGTTTGACCGGTGTTCGGGAAGTCTAGTGTCAGATTTTAGTTCCAGATACTCGATGACCAAGTCCGGCTGCCTACTTTCGTGCAAACAAGATGGCCGCTGTTTTCTCTTACACGTGAAGTTCGGCTATACGAACGGCAGCCACACAGGGAAAGCGCATAATTGATGATTTCCTTTGGTGATAATGAGCCAGAGGGGTGGTCGGTGGTTCGGTAGTTTTGAAACTACCGAACAAATCAACGAAAACTGTGGAAATAGTCGAAATATTGTTTGAAAAAGTTCAGGAAATGCTGGGTTTTCTTACACTCATTTGCACTACCCTGATTCACAATGAAACAGATCAACTATTGCCGTAACAGGTTACTTGTGTGTTTTTACTGAAGCTTATTGTAAAACATAGTTCTTGGCTCTTTAATGCATTCTACAGTTTTAAGTGGGGAACCTTATTTTTTGTCTAAATCCACTGAGCACACCTCCCAAGTGCCCCTATTTAGGAGGAGCAGACGTTACGTGAACACATATCCCTCCGTCCCTCTTTTCTATCCTAGTATCCCTCTGTATTATATTGTTGGTGTGTCTCAGTGTATAACAGAGCTCAACAGCAATAATACTCACAGTAATGTGTCATTAATCTACAATAAATGTGTTTAGAAATCAGTCTGTGTAAGACACATTGTTTTTGCTCTAATTTAGATTTTAGATGCATAAATTGTTATTAGTAAGTCATCAAATATTTCTCAGAACTGCCCCTGTCCCTGGTCACACCTGTACGGTAAAAGTGTCCCTCTTCGTCAATTTGAAATGTTGAAAGCTATAAAAGAGCCAAATAACTGAGTACCATGCAAATCATAGATCTGATCTATTTTGAGGTCTCCAGTACTCTATGAATTTTCATTGTCTGATTGCCATGCAACAAACTATTCATGTTGCAGGGTATAAACTGCAGGACGCTATCCCAGTATCCGCCAGTTTCTGTGTGCAAGGCTAGATATACAGTGAGGGAAAAAAGTACTTGATCCCCTGCTGATTTTGAACATTTGCCCACAGTCAAAGAAGTGATCAGTCTATAATTTTAATGGTAGGTGTATTTTAACAGTGAGAGACAGGACAACCAAAAAAAAAAAAAATCCAGAAAAATGCATGTCAAAAAAGTTATAAATTGATTTGCATATCAATGAGTGAAATAAGTATTTGACCCCTTCAAATTAGTACTTGGTGGCAAAACCCTTGTTGGCAATCAAAGAGGTCAGACGTTTCTTGTAGTTGGCCACCACATTTGCACACATCTCAGGATGGATTTTGTCCTACTCTTTGCATATCCTCTCCAAGTCATTAAGGTTTCGAGGCCAACGTTTGGCAACTCGAACCTTCAGCTCCCTCCACAGATTTTCTATGGGATTAAGGTCTGGAGACTGGCTAGGCCACTCCAGGACATTAATGTGCTTCTTCTTGAGACACTCCTTTGTTGCCTTTGCTGTGTGTTTTGGGTCATTGGCAAGCTGGAATACCCATCCACGTCCTATTTTCAATGCCCTGGCTGAGGGAAGGAGGTTCTCACCCAAGATTTGACGGTACATGGCCCCGTCCATCGTCCCTTTGATGCGGTGCAGTCATCCTGTCGCCTTAGCAGAAAAACACCCCCTAAGCATAATGTTTCTGCTTATGGTGGGGATTGTGTTCTTGGGGTCATAGGCAGCATTCCCCCTCCTCCAAACACGGCAAGTTGAGTTGATGCCAAAGAGCTCGATTTTGGTCTCAACTGACCACAACACTTTTACTCAGGTCTCCTCTGAATCATTCAGATGTTCACTGGCAAACTTCAGACGGGCCTGTACATGTGCTTTCTTGAGCAGGGGGACCTTGCAGGCACTGCAGGATTTCAGACCTATGGCGTAGTGTGTTACCAATTGTTTTCTTGGTGACTATGGTCCCAGCTGCCTTGAGATCCTCCCGTATAGTTCTGAGCTGATTCCTCACCTCATGATCATTGAAACTCCACGTGGTGAGATCTTGCATGGAGCACCAGAACGAGGGAGACTGACAGTTATTTTGTGTTTTTTCCATTTGTGAATAATCGCACTAAGTGTTGTCACCTTCTCACCAAGCTGCTTGGCGATGGTCTTGTAGCCCATTCCAGCCTTGTGTAGGTCTACAATCTTGTCCCTGCAAAAAGAGAAAAAAATAACCGCACTCTAATCACGTGAAGATCCGGCTGCTAAACTGGACCAAGGGCCAGCACCAGCCCCAGGGAGTAAATAGATGATCCAGGCACTCCGAGTATCTTTAATTTAATTTATTTAGATAAGTGATGTTTCAACCCCTGAAAGGGTCTTAGTCAAGCTTGACAAAGCCCTTTTTAGGGGACAAAACATTGCGGTGTCTCATTTATCCAAATACAGGTAACAAGCTGAGATAAGGAGTACTCAATTAAGAGAGTGTTCCTAATCTCAGCTCATTACCTGTATAAAAGACACCTGGGAGCCAGAAATCTTGCCAATTGATAAGGGATCAAATACTTATTTCACTCATTGACATGCAAATCAATTTATAACTTTTTTGACATGCGTTTTTGTGGATTTTTTTTTTGTTATTCTTTCTCTCACTGTTAAAATACACCTACCATTAAAATTATAGACTGATCATTTTATTGTAAGTGGACAAACGTTCAAACGATAAACGTTCAAAATCAGCAGGGGATCAAATACTTTTTTTACCTCACTGTATAGTGGTAGGGATCATTTCCGATCTGGCTAATAATCTCTCCACAGGAAATGCATTTCAGGAGGAACAGGGACAGCACACGTTAGATCATAGGATAGCACTTTATAACAGCTCCTGCCACTCTGCTATCAATCATAGGAGACTGATTGGTCGACAGAAGACAGGAGGGTAAGTAGTTTGCAAATAACCCTTCAAACTCCACATGCCCTTTTTGTAAACCCTAAATTTAAACCCTCCCAAAACCTAAATAAATCCTTTTCATAGTCCTAACTTTAAGCACATAAAGCCTTCTAAATACAGCAAGACCATGTCTGGACTACACTTTTAATTTATGGTGGGTCTAATGAATACATTGCAACAAGAACAGAGAATATGTGAAATCTGAGAACAGGCAAAAACATAGAGAAGCCTCAATAGCGTTACCTACCTATGGGAAAGTATTGGATCAGTTGAGATCATCAATTTCTAATCCCTAACCATTTCTAATATTATCTTGCATGCAGCAACACAGCAGCCTATATTTACAGACTCAACACACAATACATTACCAGCAGAAATATGTAAATATATATTACAAATATAAGTAAGTGTAACATACATCCCCTCTAATGAGCCAGATTGGCGAAACGTGCGTCAGCAGTTCTGACAAGCACACTTCATAGCCACTGTATCACGAGTAAGCTCATGTTCGGCTTATAATGGCGTTTACAGAAACCCACTAATATCTGTCCCCATATACTGGTGAAAAAACTAAAAACGGCTATCATTACAATCTCCAGCTTTCTTTCATTATATTGATTCTAAGGGTGGGAGGCATTCCTTATGCATCCATTTAGGAGTAACAGTCATTTTGGGTTAAGGGGTGCCGTCGAAGGCACAGAATTAGTATTTACATTACCTCTCCCTGCTATCACCCCTATTGATACAGACGTGTATTGGCTACATTGTTTGGCAGCAACTATTAGCTAATACAATGTTGCTTATTTGTTCCCACTACATTGCTGGCCTTTTTTAGTTGCACTATATCTAACAAGACCATTGAGCCTGTATTACAAGCATTTTCTGATATCTTAGTATTCCTATTGCAGCACTGCACATTAAGAAATACTACTTTTTTTTTCTTTCAAAAAGGGAGGAAGACCTCCCCTTATTCCTTTGTTTGGAGTTTATATTTAGATTCTTTTTTCTATTCTCCTTATACCGCTGGTCTGCAACAGATGTTTTTTTATTATTATTATCCTGAACTCACAAAACTACAGCCTGTACTACCTTACTCTGTATTCATTATCCCTATATTTGGGTAGAACTACCAGATTTTCATATACAGACGTTATAGCTACACTCAGGATAATTGTTTTGTAAATATGTACATTATTATTTCTGTTTGAATTTTGTTTTCCTTTTCTTTTTGTCGTGGTGACTTATTTCACCTCTTCGGTATATTAAAAGTTATGTTTTATTTTTAGAAATACCTATCCTAATTGGTTGATATTTGCCACTCCACCAGCGATACCGTTATTATTTCTCGCTCTCTCCAGGCAGTTCTCTTTTTTTTTTCTCTCATTTATTCCATAGTGAACAGTCTAACTAGCGGTTACCCCCCGCTTCAGGAGGTTCATAATTACATTACCTTTCTTTACTCTTTTATTGTCTTTAGAAATTAGAATATTATTATTATTAAAGTTACTAAAAAGAGAGTGCAAAAGATAGCTATAGTATATGGAATATTATCAATTCTGCAAAATGAACGATATAAACAAAATCAAATAATAAACCAAAATACAATAGGCATGAAATATATACCAGCTGCTAAAACACGTAAAGAACTTTCACAAATTCCAAAGTAAAAATGCAATCCACAGTGTCAGCGCTTAGTAGATATATCCCTGTGAGCAGTGGCGTACATACGATCCATGGGGTCCCGGTGCGAAAATTAATCTGTGGGCCCCCCAGCGCTTACTCTGCTCAAGCCTGGGCCGCAACACATGGTGCGACCCCTGCGACCGCGGTATGTACGCCAGTGCATGCAGATACACATACACTTAAAGGACCACTATAGGTACTCCAATCACTTCAATGAAAATGAAGTGGTCTGGGTGCCTGGTCCCTCTAGTTTTAACCCTGCAGCTGAAAACATAGCAGTTTCAGAGAAACTGCTATGTTTCACTGAGGGTGAATCCAGCCTCTAGTGGCTGTCTCACTGACAGCCGCTAGAGGCGCTTCCGTGATTCTCACTTTGAAAAATCACAGTGAGAAGACGCTGGACGTCCATAGGAAAGCATTGACTAATGCTTTCCTATGGGCAGTTTGAATGCGTTCCCGGCTCTTGCCGTGCATGCGCATTCAGAGCTGAGAGGTGGATCGGGGCGGAGAGATCCCCAGTGCCAAGGGAGCCTGGCGCTGCAGAAAGGTAAGTGCTGAAGGGTTTTTTTCAACACACACACTCACGAACAGATGCATACACACTAGCTAACAGACACACACTCAATGACAGTCATATATACACTCTCCCTGACAAACACACACTCACTAACAGACACACACAAACTAACACACTCAGTAACAGACACACACAGTAACACACTCACTGACACACAAACACACACACACTGACACTCACTAGCAGACACACACTCAATAATAGACACACACAACACACACAGTAACACACACACAAAAAAACTAACACTCACTGACAATCACTAGCAGACACACACAACTAACACACTCAGTAACAGACACACACACTAACACACAGACACACTCGAGGGCTGCACACAGAGGGTGTTGCACACAGAGAGGGCAAGGGGGCTGCACAGAGAAGGGGCAACATACCCCCTGGCTGTGTCTGGGGGGAGTTGTGAACACGTCCCGTCTATGCTAGTTAGTATGGGCGGTGGAGTGTAGCCCTTACGTTGTGTGGGTTCAGGTGTGCCTGGGGATTTAATGTAGCACGGTAATGCCCACAATGTGTAAGGAGGTGGTCGTCGCTTCACACCCTCTGTGCGCAGGTCCTATCCTTCAGATAGGTCATGTCAACAGCAGTCACCGTTTAGAGTGACAACAGAAATCATACAAACAAACAGAAAAAACAAAAGAAACATGGTAAGTGCAACCGGAGAGTTTAAACAACCCTGTTAGGGTAAAGTACAAGCCTGTCTCTGCAGGCATCTAGGAGAGTTCAGGTAGTGCATCTACATAGGCGGCTGGAGTTACTCCCCGAGGTATAAACTGAATCACTGCTGCTGGGTCCCATGTGTGGGGTGGGGAGGTAGTAGGGCATAGTCATGCTATGACCAGAGTGTCCTTTGGTAGTCCCAGAGTGGGGAGAAGGGCCTTTGCTTCCCGGACCAAGTGTGTTGCGGTGCCATGTTGAATTTCTGTGCTGTATTTTCCATCTGTACATAATGCCTTTAGACCGGAGGAGGGATGTAAAGGTCTGGAGTGATCTACTCCATGCCATTGTGCTCCCGGACAAGTCCGCATAGAATGTGAGCGGCATGCCTTCAAAGGTGTACGGTGAGTGGTTCCGGACCGTGGCCATGACAGCTGCTTTATCTTTGCCGCTTTGGAATCTAACCAAGAGGTCTCTCTGTGCTGAGGTTGGTGCATTCGCTGACTTTTGCAGGCGGAATATCCCCTCCTGTCCCACCAGTTTAGCTTGCTTAGGCAGTAGTAATGCTGTGAGGAGTCGCCGTATGAGATGTGGTAGTTCTGTCTCAGGTGTATTCTCTGATATACCTCTAATTTTGAGTTTTAGTCTGTGCGTCTGGTCCTCCATAACTGCAAACCTTAGGTCCGATTTTGCCTGTTGTAGTTGCAGGTCTTGAACTGCCTGTTGGAGTTGGGCTGTTTGCTGAGTGTTTAGGCTAGTGTCAATTTCCAGTGACCCCATGCGGTTCGTTAGGCCTAGTAGGTCTTTCCGGAGATGGCCCATGTCGGCCTGAATGGTGCACTGAAGGTATGCAAGCAAATCTTTCATGATTGCCGTTGTCACAGGGGCCAAGTCTGGATGAGAGTTGGGAGGCCTTAGGGCCCTCTGCTCCGGCGGGTGTCCCGCTGCCATTCCCAGAGAGATGTCATCTGAAATCTCAGTGTCGCCGTCTGGGAGGTCGGCCATTTTAGCATCTGCGCTGCTTTGGGCCTGGAGCCACAAGTCCCCAATATTCATGCCCATTCTCGGTTTATCTTGTCTGGGCTTCTTAGTTTTTCACCCCATGTCGTTGGGGTCAGCTGCAGGTACACGATGCAGGCGTCGGGAGTATGAAAAAAACCCTTTAATAGCAGATTTATAAAGTTGTCTGCACGGAGCTCAGGTATCGTGCGTCCATCCTGATCAGTAGCTTGGCTCTGCCTCTTCATGCAACCATTTTACCACCCTATGTCAGTTAATTTTAAAAGCCTAAATCTCCTCACCATTTTTTTAGCCATAGTGAGACCATGTATTCATGTTTCTATGTTTTTTCAATCTCCAATTCTTATCAGAAAAAAAAAAATCTATATAGTGTATATATTCTTCTTTGAGGCATATAGTGATGGTCACAACTTAGAATGAACAAATATTCTGTTAAATTTTTCACATTATTTATCATACAAAGTAACTTGTTCCAGTGTTCACTATAGGTCTCCACTCATTATAGTTCTTACTTTATTATTTCTCTACTTTATATATTTATCTGTTTCAAACTTTATTTTTATTTTTTACTTCCTATTCCAGGTGCTTTATTTAAGTTTTCTTCTCCCTATGGGGTTTTATGTAAGAGAGGTATAATGCATAAGAAAACAATGTCATGTAAAATACTCTTTATCCTATACACATTTCATTGCAAACAAGCTTTCTCCCTAGGCAGTGTAATATCTGAGATCTAAAGACACCAATTAGGTAATTCACTAATTGACACAAGGTCCCATAAGGTTAAGGTCGGTGTTATTATGTATAGTGTGATGGATCACTATAACCATCCCCTTTGGTTATGCATTCAACTATGTGTTCAGGACATTGCATTCCCTTTTATTATATTTCTCCCTGTCATTCCCTTACCGAACAAGAAGTGTGAAACCTATTAACATTATGTACTCAATACACACGAACTCCCGAAGCCATTCAAAGTGCCCTTCGACCACGTGGCGTCGGCCATCTTAAGCTGCGAGTACTATGAGCGGTGTTTGGTCGTCGTTATGACATTATCCACGAACGGCTATGTTCGGTATTTCGAACGGTATTTCAAATCAAAATTATATTTCTTAACCCTTGAACTTATCTGGGTGATTTTTGGATATGTTAGTCACCCAGATCAGGGCTATCAGGGGATGTAACCACTTTTATGGGGATTTTATGTGTTTTTGGCGTACTTTTGGGGTTTTGCAAAATATGTGTTTTTTCTGCCTGGAGATAATTGGGTTAATACAGTATTGACTCAATTATATCCTAGGCAGAGGGGAGGGATTGTATGCCATGTGTGGGAGTGTCTTCTATTGTAAATGTGTTATCATTGGTTTGTAAGTTTGTGTCCCTGTCCCCAACAAGGTCCATGTGGGCGTATACCTTGCTTGTAGATTGTCATAAAAGCCAGTGTGGCACCATTAAAATTCAGATCCTGCTTTACCTTCAACAAAGAGCCTTGCCTCGTATTTGTAGGAACCTGCTATACCACTAGCTCTTGTAAGAACTTCACAGCTATGCCTACTCTTCGCTGCTTGGACTGATGGTGGGGAATACTTCAGCGCTCTCTACTCTAGAGGGAAAAGGCATCTCTGACAGCGGAAACCCCTCCACTAGTAGGGTGGCCATTACATATAGCTAATCCGGGTTCTTGCTCCTTGATACGGAAGGTACCCGCATTGGTATTCATGCTACACTAGAGGAAGCTGTTAAGAGTTAAGATCTGATCGGGGGAAAGACAAAATGGGATTTGAAGTATATTTGTTGTGTATAATCCAGTCCCATTACCAATACATACTAAGAAATATATATATATTTTTATAGGGTTTAATGTGAAAGTCCTTTTTGTGTTCGGTATTTATTCTAATTCCGACTCATGTCATAATAATTTCATTTATATTGTACAAATACATGTAATGTCTAAATGTCACCATCCTGATAATGCGAAACTAATGCAAGTGACCGTTTGGGAAGTTTAATGTATAACAGGTTTTTCTGCTATATTTTATTCAGATGTAATTTATTTTATTTTTATCTTTATTTTATCTCTATTTTCATTCAATTGAGAAGGGTGAAATGCTTTGATGGTGCCGGACATATATTGCAGCATCTGGTGACCACACACGAGGCTCTAGCTCCAAGCGGGATATACCTTTGGCGTTCCTCCGAATCTAGATCGTAGACGGTCAGCTTTCGTGCACGAAGCAGACACTGTCTCCTCTGTAGGAACTGGTAACCCACCTGATAATCTGGCTGGCTCAAGTGTTTTGCTAAGCTATTTCAGTGGTTCTTATAGATAAGTACCATGATTTTATCTTGTAAGAGTTTTTGATTGGGGGGGGGGGGTTTATAAGGGTATTAAAATTTACAGTGTTACACTATTTTCTGTTTCCTTGATTTTTAAGGTATATACAGTGCACTACGTGGTTCAACACAGAAGTGGACACAGAAATTGGCTTTACCCTTTTTATTATTATTGGAATTCATTAGAACTTATTGATACCCAATCTGGATCTCAGATTTTACAAGTTTGTAAATGTGATACCCTGGGGAATATCTCACCAGGACATATCTACTAAGCTCTGACACTGGATTGCATATTATTATTTTATTGGTATTTATATAGCGCCAACTTATTCTGCTGCACTTTACAATATTACAAAAGTGGGAACTTTAAAAATAAATGAGGCAATCAGAAATAATTATAATTACAAAATGTTACAGGTAAATAGGTTGGTGAGAGAACCCTGCTCAAAGGAGGTTAGAGTCTAGAGGAGGGGGATAAATAAACTTTCACTTATAGACTTTTATTTTTATATTTTACACCATTAAATGACATGGTAACCAGCCCTAAATACATGTTGTATTGTGTTTTAATCTAGGAAAGAGAGAGTGGTCCCTAAATGAATGCTAAAGCTCTTTTTTCCCCAGGAACACCTTTTATTTCTAACAAGCATTGCCTGTTTGTGTTTTCTCTAAGCCTGCTTTAATAAAAACAGTTTTACAGCTGTCAATTTGGATAATATAGCTAAGGTTCCACCTTAGTAATCACTGTCTTTGTCTGTTTCCTCAAACAATAACCCAAACTAGAAATATCACATTCCATAGCCTGGTTGTAGGCAAATATGAGCCATTACATGCAGACTTTGGTCACCCAGAGCCTGCACCCTAACCTAACACTGTTGAATGCAGAATTGTATCTCATGGTTGAGCTGAGTTACTTTAACCCCTTAAGGACCCATGACATGTGTGACATGTCATGATTGCCTTTTATTCCAGAAGTTTGGTCCTTAAGGGGTTAAAGGAATATTCTAAGCAGGTTGCAGTGGTTAGAGTTCTTGGAGTATTCCTTGAGACGTATTCATTTTGCATCCTCATTTTAGAGTCAGAAATGCTTTATTGAAATTAAATTTTTTGGTGAAGACATTGAGAGCTGAACTGAAATTGTTAGGTCAAAGAAAATATTTAAAGTGGACAAATGTTATTTGATTAGTAAACAGACTCAGATAGTCTGTTTGGACATATATTGACTACTTCAATTACACACCATCTGTTCCATCAGTCTATTACAGACAGTGATTCAGTACTATTGAATTACTTTTACAAGTTTCAACTCGATTGAGCACATTTATGTTTTTATTGATTTTAGTAGTGTGCAGCCATGTTAGAGTGTTGTTGCCCCCCTTGTGGGTGCCCTTGTAAGAGTTAACTAGTTTGTAGGGGTTTATAAAAATACTCCTTTCTGACATATTACATTTTAACATTAACTTTGGCAGGTGATCTTACACTTTATTGGCCACTGCAGATACTAAAAGCCTCTATTATTTAAATGTGTTTAGGGATTTCAGATTGTGTGAAAGTAATCTTTTTTTTGGTGAGGTTTTGAAAGGACTGATAAATCTCTGTGGATAGTTGCAGTGAGAGCTTTTCTAAGCCTCTCTTTTAACCCCTTAAGGACTAAACTTCTGGAATAAAAGGGAATCATGACATGTCACATGTCCTTAAGGGGTTAAATGTACTCAACTCACCTTTTAATCTAACCTATCTAGGCACATGGCAGAACATCAACAATCCTTACATACCTTCATTGTGTACCAATAAAAGCCTCAACATGCACACACTGACATACATGTTGAAAGCTTCTACGACCCTTGGATCTCTCACCAGAGACTAAATGATAAATTAGAATCCATCATTGGGTCTTGACAAAGTTCACTCTTACCAAAGTGTTTGCCTAGCCTTGATATTCATACACTCTATGCCACAAGTCTCTTGCTTGTGCTTAGCAGGGGTTAATTCAGACCGACACATAATAACAGCAAGTAATACATAGCACAGTAAGGCACAGAAACATAATAATAAAACACAGACTCAGATGTGTGCTGAAAAGGCTGTGGTCTTTTATTTAGTTAACAAATTAAACAAACTTAACTTATTTAGTTTAAAACATGTAATTTGTAATCAAACATCTCCGGTCTTTAAAACCCCAGAGATTCAACATATAACTCACCAGAGTTCCGCCCTATCAGCCAGAACTTAAACAAAATGATAAAGAAACTCAGCTGGTCCACCCTCCATTTAAATTAGGCAGGTGACCTCAACCCCAATAAAAGACCACGACAATTGAACTTTAGGGAGGGAGGTCGGGGAAAAACAGCTCTACAGTTAACTTTTTCTTCTGGCGCCAAATATCACCTCAGGACGCCTTATATATAGCGTTTTCCCGCTCCAGAGAGCCCTTGCGGACAAGCGCTCCAATCAGAGCACTGTCCGCATGGACCCCTGCATGGAAAGGTCATGAGAGCATCGCAAAAGACGTTACCGATGCACTCGCGACTAATAGCAATGCCCGCCACACCCCGACCCCTGAATAACCCCATTACGCACATGTGTCAATTGACAAGGTACATTATTTTGCTCTGAATGCTATTGGTGGATTTTGTTATGTTTAGAAGTTTATTCTTTTTAAATATGTTCTTTGACCCCGATATGCACAGCTGATATGGTTGTCTCTCACTCCACTAGTCTGTTTAAGCTAGTTGTTTCTCAGTGTTTAGATTTGTTTTGTTTGTTATGGTTTATGCTCAGTGCTTGGATATGTTTTTTTTTCATAAATCCATAGCTGATAAGTCCAGTGATTACTGTTACTTTACTAACAATAAAAATTGGTGACTCTGTACTATTTGTGTTTTACATCTTATTGTTCATGCTGAACTACTTCATAACTGAAATTAAACAAATAAATAAAAGGTTTTGTGTCATATCTTGCTTGTCATTCCCAGAAGAAGTCACTAGCATATAAGTCTAGATGTGCTTATTTGGCTGAAACACTACTGTAGTGATCTGGGGACCTTTGAAACACAAACACCTAGTGTAATGATTAGATTAAAAGCTAAAGTGCTATCTCTCTTCCCCCATACATTACACATAGTACTAGAAAAGTAAATACTGAGATGGTAAATATTTGCTAAAGGATCAACTTCAAACACTGAACATTATAAACTAAATGATTCATAGATGGGTGGCCAAAATATCCTCATCTTTTGTACTACTCCCAAGATGCTATGCCAGCTTGGGATCTACCATTTGCCCAAGCCCAGTATAGCACAGTTTTATTTGTGAGCAGTGTTTGTGCGTTTGAATGTAAGCATGCTTTTGTATAGAGCAGGGTTTCCCAAACCAGTCCTCAAGACCCACCAACAGTCCATGTGTTGTCAGTATCTTTATTGGAATAAAACAGGGAAATGCATAAATCCTGGTATGTTGTGTTGGCTTTTAAATGCAGATGTACACTTGTGTGTAGTTTTGGCATTTAAATTAATTGCTGTGTTTGTATATAATTTGGGAGTTTGAATGCAGGGCTGTGCTTGTTTGTAATGTTTGTGTATGATTGCAGAGACTTGTTTGCATGCAGTGTTGGCATTTGCTGGGATCTATGCACCTATAACAAACACTGCCACATACATATGTACACAGACATACATACACATTAACAGACACAGATATAAAAACACTAACAGATACACACATACACACTGAGGTACACACACCGACAAATACACACATCTGAAAAACAGATTATACACATTGACACAGACACCCTCTCACACACAGATGCACACACTGACACATACCCACACCTTGACACATAGATCCACACACTGAAACATACTCACTCAAACAGTGGCGTACATACCAGGGTCGCCCCTGCGACCCGGTATGTACCCACTGTCCAGCCTCTTCTCCTGGGGGGCCCAGGAGACGGCCACCCCAGGGCCCCCCGAGGCTGGCCCTGCTGACACCCGGCAGGCGGGCTGTCTGGGTGGCCGGCGCGCGAGGGAGCACTCTCCCCTGAGTGCTTCCTCTTCAGCTCCCATGCGCACCGCACTGATACCAGAGCCGGAAGATGACGTCATCTTCTGACGCCGGTATCCCTACGCGGCGCGCGAGGGAGCTTAAGAGGAAGCACACAGGGGAGAGTTCTCCCTCGTGCGCCGGCGACCCAAACAGCCCGCCCCGCCCCGCCGGGTGTCAGCAGGGCCAGCAGCACCACTGGACCCCAGGGAATCCCCTCAGCTCTCCAAAAGGTAAGGAGGCTGGATATTTTTTTTTTTTTTTAAATGTGTGTGTGTTAGGGTTTGTGTGTCTGCTAGTGAGTGTGTTACTGTGTGTCTGTTACTGAGTGTGTTTGATGTCTGTTAGTGAGTGAGTGTGTTTGTCAGTGAAAGTGTATGTTTTGTAAGTGAGTGTGTATGTATGTCTGTCGCGGAGTGTGTCTCTGTCAGTAAATGTGTGTCTGTTAGCTAGTGTGTTTGCGTCTGTTCGTGAGAGTGTGTGTCTTCAGCATTATCCAGCGCCGGACTCCCTTGGCGCTGGGGATCCCTCTGCCTCTCAGCTCCGAATGCACATGCGCGGCAAGAGGCGCATGCATTTAAACCGCCCATAGGAAAGCATTACTCAATGCTTTCCTATGGACGTTCAGTGTCTTCTCGAGAATCGTGGAAGCTCCCCTAGCGGCTGTCAATGAGACAGCCACCAGAGGCTGGATTAACCCTCAGTAAAACACAGCCATTTCTCTGAAACTGCTAGGTTTTTAGCTGCAGGGTTAAAACTAGAGGGATTTAGCACCCAGACCACTTCATTGAGCTGATGTGATCTGGGTGTCTGTAGTGGTCCTTTAGGTGTGTGTGCATACCACGGTCGCGGGGTCGCAGCCCTGCAACCAGGTGCCCGCCACCATGTGTTACGGCCTCAGCCCACGCCGAGTAAGAGCAGGGGGGGCCAACGGATGAATTTTCGCACTGGGGCCCCATGGGTCATGTGTACGCCACTGCACTCATACACTGAGACACACGTTTATATACATATTAACACAAAGATACACATATACATGTCAACTTTTTTTATATTTTTAGTCACCCTCCTGTAAATATTTATAAAGAGCCAACAAATTCCGCCACACTGTACAACTTAACATACCTTTTGTGTGCTGGAGGGTGGCTTGTGGTCCTGCTGCCGGCTTAGGCTAAAGGTAGCCCTGCTGTATGTGCCTCCTCTCTGTCTCCTGCGTGGCTCTCCATGTAGCTGGAAGGAAGTGACCTGCACTCACTTCCTCCAAGTGCTGCGATATTATAGGGGCCCAGTCGCACTGTGAAAGGGCCGAGGCACCTAGCCAGGTCCCTGTTCAGCAATGCCATTCTGGTGGCCTTAAGTACATGGGCCAACCACGTGGGGGACACAGTGCGGCTGCACCAGCGGTAATCCTGCCACAGACACCACACCAAATACTTCCTGGTTTAGTGAGCATTCACTGGAAATCAAGGGTACACAAACTTTGTTCTCAGGGAAACCAGGACTAATGCTGAGTTTTGATCTGAAACTCCATCTGACTTCTTCTCCACATGTAGAAAAGACGTTAGATGGACCTTCCGATCAAGACTCATCATCACTCCTGCTTTTCCTGTGAACGGTTTGTGGACCCTTCATGTGCCGGCAATTAAGAAGACCATGAACTGAGGGTTTCAGCTAAATTTTTCTGCAGAGCATTGCCTCCAGATGGCCAATTAAAATTTATACCTCTTGCAAGTGTTTTAAATTGTGTCTAAATAAAACGTAATTCTAGAGATGACACTACGGAAATTTAACTTATTTTGCAGATTGGGCAGATTGGTTACTCTGCTTTCTACTGACTTTCTAAAATACTATTACTATTACTGTATCACACAGCTCTCTAGCAATCTGCAATGTGTATGAATCATTTCATAATTTGTGACAGTGCCAGCATAATGCACCAAATACAGTTAATTACACAGCACAGTTTAGGGATACTGCTGTGTGCTGCAATATTTTTAATGCAGTAAATTCAAATGCTACAAGTTTGGGGTAAATGCTTGGGGTAGGATTAATAAAGCATGGCATGGGGTTAAAGGGATACTATAGGCGGACAGACCACTTCAGCTCATTGAAGTGGTCTTGGTGCATATTCCCAGGTCTCTTAACCCTGCATAGCTAATTATTGCAGTTTTTATCATAAAGTGCAATCATTAGTTTTGTGGAGTAAGTCCATCTCTAGTGGCTGTCTACCAGACACAATAGAGAGCCCTAATTTGATTTTCCTGGCACTATAGTTTCCCTTTGATACAGCATGACGTGCGGTTCATTCATTCAAAGATTTGGTGTCATAATGCAAATCATACAACTTAATATTGGGCATTAAGGTATGGTGTAGAGCAGAGATTTGGGGGGGGACTTAAGTTAACATATGTGTGAGGGAATATACAATTTATCACTAGAGATGTCGCGAACCGTTCGCGGCGAGCTCCGGTCAGCTGACACATCCCGGCCAATCTCCAGCAGACCCTCCCTCCTAGACCCTCCCACCTCCTGGACAGCATCCATGTTGAAGCTGCCTTCAACATGGATGCTGTCCAGGAGGTGGGAGGGTCTACTGGAGATTGGCCGGGATGTGTCAGCTGACCGGAACCGTTCGCGGCGAACCGCGGCGAGCCGTTCGCGGGAAGTTCGCGACATCACTATTTATCACTGCTCTTTTTTCAACCTAGTAATGGAATCATTTCTAAGAGGTTGTGCCATCAGAAACTAAAAAAATATATATTTTCTCAATTTCTTCTTTTGTATGAGGCACTGCCTAAAATTGCCCTCTGTGCATATTTCCTCTCTAATTTAATTTTTTTAATTACTATTTAAAGAGTGGTTTATGTTAACACAAAATAAAATATTATTTTAATTCTAATTTATATGTATTGCTTATAGTTCCAACTAACATGAGTTTGGGTAATTTTGGCAGTAGTGTATAATTGCACATATATAAATCTGCAATATCACCACCTGAGATACCACCTACATTTATTTGTTTATAATATGTGCAATTTGAGTAATTTATCTTAATATATAACTAACTGCTGTGCACCTGGTTGAAAGGGATTCTTTAGTGCCAGGAAAACAAGCCATTTTCCTGGCACTATAAGTTTCTTTCATTGACACAGCGCTCTCCCTCAGCGCTGAAGGGGTTAAAACCCCTCAGTCCCTTACCTGAATTCAATGCCAATGCTGGGTCAGGCTCCGCCCACACTCCTCTCCAGCCGACATCAACCTGCAGGGGAAACTCAATACTTAATGGCCGTGCTCACATTAGGATTTCCCGATAGGAAAGCATTGAGCTGACGCTGGAGGTCTTCTTGCAGAGCGTGAGGATGTCCAGCATCAGATACCAGACCAAAGGTCTATTTCAATTCAGAAAGCCCTCTATTGGCTGTCTGGTAGACAGCCACTGTGGGTAGACCTGTGGGCAGACCTAGAGCTGCAATGTAAACATTGCAGTCCTCTGGAACCACAATGTTTAACATTGCAGCACCAAGTGCAAAAGGGACAGTGCATCCAGACCACTTCAATGAGCGGAAGTGGTCTGGGTGTCTACAATGTCCCTTTAATCAAAGTAATCATTTTGTGCAGGTTTTGAAGAATGTGTATGTTCTTGGTTTTGCATGGCTACATCAACCACAGTGTTCTTTGTAGATGATAGTTTAAAAGAATTTGTATTTAAATTTTTGTTATGACAATTTACTATGAAGGTGAATTAGGGATTATTCTAGCCTCGGTGAGGGAATAATCTAAATTTTATTAAAGACAGGAGGCGAATATTTGCTTTACCTTCTTTACTGAAACCTCCAGCAGCAAAGAAACAGTTAACAGAACTTTTCAAAACAACCAATCAGAACAAAGCAACAGTAGTATAAAACCCCTAAGCAGGCTCTTCCACTTCCTCTTTCTTTGATGAGGTCGAGCAGGAGAGCAAGGAAACCAACGAATCCACCTTGTAGCAGACACATCCAGAGAAACAATCGTCAAGCCCAGAGAGAAAACAGATTACACTGCAAAAAAAAAAAAACAGAAAACATCGTGAAAGTAAACTGTCAAGGCAAGATGTCATATCCATACAATATCACTTTCACATCATAATACCTGATGAATAAACAAAGTCTACAGATCTTATGAAGACCTAGTATGTACCTAAGCTAAAGGCATTGACGAAACATAATTACAACACAAACATGATGAATAAAACGCACACGGACAACCATCACTGAATATTAGAAATAACCTTTATTATGTAAAACCATGCATTCACAAAACATAACAATATCCCCAATTATTTATAATAGAATAAAACCCAGATCCAGGGAGGGAACGTAAAAAAGGGGGGGGAAATATTCGCCTCCTGTCTTTAATAAAATTTAGATTATTCCCTCACCGAGGCTAGAATAATCCCTAATTTTATGGCAGGACAGGAGGCTTCATATTTGCAATTTTAACGCCCAAATAGTAGAACCAGAAGCAATATGAGATAGAGGACTGAAATAAAGGAGAATGGAAAAACTGATTCCCTAAACCAAGCAGCGGTGTAAACCAAATGCAGAAGGGACCCAACGGCTTCCAAAATTGTTGAGGTGACAGCACCCCGAACTAGAAGTGTCCCAGAGGAACTCAAGGTCAGTCAATGAGAGGCTCCACCAAATCCAACAGGCGAGCGAAGATGCAGAAACAGTCCAAAACGGCCGTACGCAGAAATAAACAGCTGTCCATGAGAAGACAGACGAAAGAACCAGATCCTGGATCTACATGGTCGTGTACAATCTGTCAACAGAGCCGTGGCCTATCCGGAGAATAGGGGTACGACACAGAGGACGAATAAAAATGTGTGGAGCAGAAGCCGATGTACTGAACGGCAAGAAGAAAGAAGACACGTCGATACCATGACGTCAGAACGCGATGAAATACAAGATGTACTGGGGGGAAACCGTAAGCGGAAAAAACTGGTGCACCTTGTCATTAGGTCATTCCTCAATGAAATGCAGAACACATGATACCACTAGACTTGAGGAATAGCGAGAGATAGGGCTCCCGTACGGTAGACTGCAGACCAAGAGATCCTTAGCAATGCCAGAATCTTGAGAAAATGCACATGAGTTGTCCACTAGCTGACATAGGACGTGAATGGCCCCATACGATCCTCCCCTGAGAGGGCAACTCAGCCAGACAATGGGGACCCAAACACCAGTCGTGGCAGGCTACCCCTGTGGATCCCACGTGGGACATTAAAAGAGAGGGAGTCGTAGATTGCCTTCCCATGGCAAACTCCAGCAAAAAGGGGAAAGCACGCAGGATTCCTCCGAAGTGGTTTGGCCAGGCGAAACGACACTTCCAGGAATTTGGTCTGAAGCAAAAACCAAAGTATCCTGTAGGTAAACGGGATGCGTACGCCCCGAAGGAGACCAAGCTTGGAAAACTCGTCCCTTGCCTCGCTGAGGGTCCGGCAGCCAGTTGGAGAACCGCTCCGTATGGCAGTTCGCACTGAATGTAATCATGCCAGTACTCGAGACCCCGGAGGGTGAGGCAACCAATCATTGGGGTCTCTCCATGGTTGGGTGAAGACGTCCACCACATGAGTGTCTCGTCCCGCATACATTCTGTCACAAATGACGAATACTTGTCCAGAAGCTATAGATAGCGATCCTATGTGAGATCCGACTGCAGTCCGTAGTAGGCAACTGGTGAGAAGTCCATGCCGGAAGGTAGCGAGCAATACTGTGAATGTTGAACAAACCTGCAGGCAGGTCCATGCAGTTGGCGTAAAGGAGTCCCTCCTCCGGAGTCATCAATTAAGTTTTAGATGAGCTTCATCCGAAGGTCACATGATTTGGTCATACCAGGCCGAAGACCTGAAAAAGCGCCATGTTGGAGCGGCTGATAATACCGGATCCTGGAGGTATGGCTTCCATGGCGAATAGGCACCGGTCAATTAACCGGGTTGGGCCCCTAAGTGTAACCCGCGGGTTGCTGAGCATATACCTGGTATTTTCCTTGAGGATTGACATCTTGGTCCTCGGGAGGCGGAGCACCGCCTGGACCGAATATTCCATGAAAGACCGGAAAATGGGTTGACTGGGAGTGAGTCAGATTCAATATGTCCATGTTGATGGCAAAATCCATGCGGGTTTCTCTCATGTGCATTTGAGGGAGAGAACCAATCGTCAACGCCGAGCAGCTCTCAGAGGGGGATGAGTGCCCTCCATCTCAAAATGTGTCAGACGACATATGCACTGGGAGCATGTAGCGTGGGGATGGGGCGGGAGTCCACTCCACCGCACCCTTTGCCCAGCAGGGCAACTGCGGAATGAGTCGGAATGGATGCCTCTTTTGGTCATGCGTATCGCTCATGGAACGGTCCAAGGTTCCGCAACCTTGATCTGGAGTCCGGGCACGGTCCGAGAGACCTCTGGGGCTAGTTAAGGGGGAACCCTATGAATAGAGACGTGTCAGCTCAATTTGTACACGAGGGTAACTCCGGAGAGCAGACCCAGCACTTGGATGCTAAATCCATCAGTTTGATGTCCAGCTTGGACAGGGGCCGTTTTGCGGTTCTCAGGGGTAGAAACCAACTAGGCGATACCTATAAGTCATATCGGTCCATTCCCAGTGGGAATTTAGTCCCAAGGAAACATCTGTGTCCGCGTGTCACCGACATCCACTGGTTAGTCCCAGATAGAGTTCAAACCCCGTGTCAGGTGTTTGCGGTGTCCTTTCCAGACTCCGTCATGAAGACTGATCCTCTTGATGAATCCATCCGTTAGCCAACGAGTACCAGGGGTGCTTGGTGTAGCGTCTAGGATGGCCGGTGGAGTGTCCCCGTAGGGTACCGATGGTTTCTGGCAGTGAGGTCAGCTGGGCGGCAAGAGGACAGGCCAAGTGACCTTCTGGGTAAGGAGATTTGTCCTTCAGCCGTGATTGCACAACTGCCATAGAGGTAACACTGTCGGAATGATACCTGGTGCGGCCAGCTGGGGGTCACCCAGCGTGCAAGAGGGGGTCACCCAACAAGCACAAGCATACCATGCAGTATAGGCCAGCAGGGGAGGGGGTCACCCTCAGTCTGAACATAATCGGACACTGTAGGTACAGTGGTGCGGCCAGCTGGGGGTCACCCAGCGTGCAAGAGGGGGTCACCCAACAAGCACAAGCATACCATGCAGTATAGGTCAGGAGGGGGTCACCCTCAGTCTGAACATAATCGGACACTGTAGGTACAGTAGTGCCGAAGTGGTTAGCCGTATAATAAAGTAACCAGACATTGCCGGTCCAGCAGTGTAGACGGCAGGAGGGGGTCACCCTCATATAACCAGAACTGGGCATTGCAGATCCAGCAGTGCTGTAGGTAAGAGGGGGTCACCCTCAGTGTGGTATCATAGAGGTCTGTACACCCAGCAGTGTAGTCAGCGAGAGGGGGTCACCCTCATTATGGTTATAACGGGACCCTGTAGGTCCAGCAGAGTAGTCCACAGGAGGGGGTCACCCTCAGTATCTGCGTATTGCAGGGCACTGTAAGAACAGAAGCTCAATCAGTGGGAGGGGTACCCTATTTTATGGGAATACCCGGACGCTGCAGGTCCAGCAGTGCAGACTGCAGGAGGGGTACCCCCTCGGTATGATAAAAGCAGGACATTGCCGGAGCATTAGTATAGGAAGCAGGAAGGGGTCATCCTCAGCATTAATCTTACAGGACGCCGTAGAGCCAGCAGGGTACTCATAGGTAGCCATGCTGCCAGAGGCAGGGGGTCACCAAGCCCACAATGGTGTCACACGTCCATTATTATGGTCCAGTAGCGGGTAGAGCCCCAGTAGTAACAGGTCTGAATGTGGGGCCAGTAGCCCCCCTGAGGGGTAGGAGGGTCCATATAGCGAGAAGCTGACTCACAGACCACTCAGGTATTATATTAGGATACACTTTTGAAGTGTATGTGTAGTGGAAAATTTAAGTCCCTTGCAGGAAGGGCAGCAAATCCTAGGCAGGGGAGCTAGGTGCTAAAAAACAGGCCATTTAATTTTTATGAGAAAAAGACTGAACCTTAGGGAAAGACTTGATTAGCATATAACACATGTGGCATAGTCTTGTTAAACAAAGATTTTATTTGAGCAGTAACATGTCCCTTTAAATCTGAGATTCACATGTAATAGTAAAAAAGTGTGACAAGTCTACTGCTAAGATAGAGAACCTAGTCACATTGCATCAGACATAGTAAGCTGCAGTTGTGAGCGTGCCTGGGACAGATGCTGCTATGATCCTGCTATCCAGGATCTGTTCCATATGCAGCATGTGAGACAGGCACAGTAAGTAGAGGGATAGCTGAAAAACTGGGCTATCTCCCCTGATATAGGGAGAGTGGCCACATGGCCAGCAGGCCAGTTCGTGGGTGAGACCTGGCTGTTCGCAACGCACAGAGCCCATGTGGCTCTGAAAAATGGCCGCCGCGGCTCCAACAAAATGGCTGCCGTGGCTTCAAAAACAGAGCGCAGCCTACCGCGTGGTGATCGTGCGGCACTGCCATGGTAGAAAAAGCTGCTCAGCAAGCGGCCACGGGGAGCAGGTGGGGAATATGGGAGAAGGGTATGGGCGACAGAGCCCAGCAGGGGAACCTGGGGAGGGGGAACAGATTACAGGCAGAGCCAAAGCATCATAGCAGGGGCACCCATTCCCCATACAGCAGAGTGTGAAAACAGAATAAAGTAACCCAGAATAACAATAAATCAATGAGCAGTATACAGAATCTATCAGATAAGTGGCCTAAATACAGCAACAGATGTTAACAAATGATACAGCAGCTACATAGCATGAAGTGGTATAGGAAATAACACAGAATAGACTGCCTAGCTAAACCCAGCAATAGACTGCCTAGCTAAACTAAAACCAGCAATAGACTGCCTAGATAAACACAGCAGACAAACTGTTAAAACAAATCCAGCAAGAAGCCTGCCTAAATAAAACCAGCAATTAAGCTGCCTAAATAAAACCTAGCAAATAGACTGATTAAATAGACTGATTAAATAAACAGGCAGCATGTAGGATAAAACAACAACCAAGAGCAGAGACAACTCTGAGTTGGTGAGTGCTCACCTGGAGGCAGCAGCAAAGAAAGAGGAAGTGGAAGAGCCTGCTTAGGGGTTTTATACTACTGTTGCTTTGTTCTGATTGGTTGTTTTGAAAAGTTCTGTTAACTGTTTCTTTGCTGCTGGAGGTTTCAGTAAAGAAGGTAAAGCAAATATGAAGCCTCCTGTCCTGCCATAAAATTTAGTAGCCCTGCAGCATGTATAGTTGTTATACGTATGACGGAAATATTCCGTCATGATTCCCTTTTATTCCAGAAGTTGTGTCCTTAAGGGGTTAAACGTGTGTGTGTAATACCTATGATTTAGAACAGTTACAATGTACCTGTTTATTCTTTGTATATTTTTCTGTTTAACAGGTTTTTTTTTTGTTTTTTTTATTACCACTTGTGCCACCTGGTTTCGGATGGAATAATGATGCCTCTCAATAGATTCCTGGGCCAGACCTTCCCTATCTTTCTAGCACAATTTAATTATGTACAATTGCATGATTATATCACCAAAACATCACAACAACCAAATGTATTCAGAGACACCCCCTCCCTCCTTTTGAGCTTTTATGTCTGGATCCTAAACCCTTACCACATGGTATCTCCTATCTTTAACCCTCCCCATACTTTTCTCCAGGTTGGAACTGGCCATTGGGTAAAATATCAGTCCAGTGTTACACAATCGATGACTGGGTCAATTACTGTGCAAAAGCTAACAAGACTCAGGAATATGCCTACAAAGCCCACTCTTTGTGGCATATGACCTCAGAATGCTTTCAGGCAATGCATCCAGAGTTAAACGATCTGTGTGAGAGATGTGCGAGATCCCTGGGCTTTTTCCTCCACATATGGTGGCAATGTTTCTGGAATTTGTAAAATTCTCCAATTATCCGCATGTGTTTAGCCTAGCCCCTTTTCACCATCACACTACTACTAGCCCTTCATCAAGATAAAAAAAATATTCTATAATAATTTGCATTCTAAATGTAGCAAAAACAATGAATAATAAAAAAAATACAGTGAAAATGGTAGTCCTTGTTTAAACAAAAATGTGAAAACACAGAACCACAAGCTAACATTTAGCAATAATTTCACAATAATTTCCCCTTTAATTCTTACACACTGGTATATGAAGAAATACTTTCCTCTATAGTTTTTCCTGTACAATGCACTGTAATTATCATTTTGCGATAACGTAGTTAGTCCATAAATTGGAGCAAAGGTGAAGGTCCTGTATATACAGTGACATCGCAGCATTGTTTTCCTGTCATTAGAGAGGCTATAAGAGACCCACGCACCATGCATGTTTTGGGCTATTCCTAAAGGCAGAGGAGGGGAGAGGAGGCAGTGGTGTAGCTAGAGCTGTTTGGGGCTCCTCTCGGCTTGGCCTCACCACTAATGCACCGCAGCGCTGTGAGGAATACAGGGAGCAGGGATTTAAGGCAATTCATATCCCTGCAACCTCCATACAGCCTGCGGCATGATCTAGAGCTGATATAACAGGCGGAGATGCTGACGGAGCTTGGCCACACTACATGAATTGACTGTCAGGAGTGCTGTGCGTTCCCCTCCTTCCAGTCACTTGGACAATATAAGTGTTGGGCAAAGTGTTATTTATCCCCCCCCACCCCCCCCCGTGTCAACTCACAATATATGAAAGGAACGATTAACCCTGTAACTCAGAAAGCATGTAATAATTACAATACCATGTGGAAAAGGGC